AAGAAATGAATGAGAGAATAAATAAATGCAGGGACAAGATAAAATCCCCATGCAGAAGAATTCAAAATAATTTATGTAGACATTGTACCCATAAGGAGATGAAATATCATCACTCCCCATTTCTTATATGTGGGCTCTGTATGGTAACTTCAAAAGAATACAGTATGGAAAAGGGAGGGGGGAACAGTTACTTTACAGTGGAGAAATCTGATAATCACTACATTAGTTTGGTGATCAAGGTTAATATCAACAGTGATAAATCATGTTATTATTTATTCCTGATATGTTATGATGAGAATGCTATTTTTCCTCTGTGGTTTCCTTCCTCAAATCCCATAATCCCATTTTAATAATGAAGAAAACTCAGAAAAATCCCAGTAGAAAGACATTCTACAAAATATCTGACCAGTACCCCTCAAGACTGATGTTCATCAAAAACAATGAAAGTCTGAGAAACCAATATAGCCAAAAGTAGTCTAAAGAGATATGACAACCAGGTGAAATGTGGTACCTTAGTTGGGATTCTGGAAGAAAAAAAAGATATTAGGCAAAAACTAAGGCAATCTGAATAACAATAATAATAATATATCAATATTGGTTAACTGTAACAAAATTACTATACTAATATAAGATGATAAAAGAGAAACTGGATATGGGTTATATGGGAACTCTCCTCTATTTTCATAATCTTCTTGTTACTCTAAAATTTTTCTAGAGAATAAATTTTAGTTTTTAATAAAGTATAGCAAGAACTTCAAAATAATTATCCATTTGAATTCTAATATCTTTCTCATGCAGCATCTCTCTTATGCAATATATTGGCCTTACCAGCATGAAGTTGATGAGCTTATCCCTGATACTCACCCCCTGACCTTCATGGGAGCTTCCAACCTAACTCTTCTCTTTATACTTTTCAGTGCTTATGTGTCACTTTTGCCTGCTAAAATTCAAATTCAAAATTGGTTCCTCATGTTGCATCACTTCCCATCTTTGGACCCTCCCTAAAGCTGCCCTCAGCCACTCACTCTGCCCTCATGCTTCCCACTTGTCCTAGGATGGAGGAATAGGAGAGAAGGAAATAGAAACAGACCCCTTGAGTATATATGAAGGTGGTATAATATGAATGTTAGTTAATTGTGCCCAAGAATTTCATAATGCAAGAGGTATTGAGTATCTAATCTATAATCAGGCTCTTAATAGACATTTGTTTTGATTTGTTTTCATTTCTTTTTCACAGATACGTTTGTTTTTTCTTACCAGCTGAATAGTTTATCAGTTACCTGAACTAAATAATTATTTTCTTCTAATCATGGGGAAATAAAAGATCCTTAGGTCTGATTTAGCCAAGCATCAATGAGCGGAACTGTTAAACCTTTGGTCACTGACTGCTGCACTAGTTATTCAATTTAATTGCACCATTTTAGTGTATCCTATGTTGTACCCTCATATTACTTTTTACTACTAAAGGAGCGATTCCATCAGTTGCTGGAGTGCTGCAGGGTGACCACCTATCTCTGTCCACTTGGGACGCTATAACAAAATTACCATATGTCGGATGGCTTATAAACAACACACACTTATTTCTTATAGTTCTGGAGGCTGAGAAGTCAAAGCAAAGATCTTGGCAGTAGCAATTTCAGTGTGGTGGCTGGTGAGAGTTCATTTGTGTCCTCATGAGGTGGAACAGACAAGCTAGCTCTCTGGTTCTCTTTTACAAGGGTGCTAATCCCAATCATGAGAACTTCATCCTCATGAACTGATCACCATCCAAAGGCCCAACCTCCTAAAATCATCACCTTACCAGTTAGAATTTTGACATATGAATTTGAGGAGTACTTAAAGTTTTTTTTAAAGATTTTATTTATTTATTCATGGGAGTCAGAGAGGCAGAGACATAGGCAGAGGGAGAAGGAGGCTTCCCTCAGAGAGTCTGATGTGGGACTCAATCCCAGGACGCCAGGATCATGCCCTGAGCTGGAGGCAGATGCTCAACCACTGAGCCACCAGGTGTTCGGGGGTGGGGGGGCAGTATTTAAATATTCAGTCTGTAGCACAACCTCATCTGCCAAGGCAAAGGGAGTTGCCTTCTGCCAAAGAGAGCCACCTTTCCTGGGGTAATGCTTTCTTCTGAAACCTGTTACTGGTCACTGTGAGAGTATATAAACCTGGCTCCATGTCTCAACACAGGGCAGATCTGAAGGGCCATTCTTGTTTATAACCCCTCTTGGGAATGGCAGAGGCCTTGTATGACTTCATTGTAGTCCAATTTCTTCCTCAGCCTAATTTTATTTCCTCCTATTACCCTTCAAAGAACACATCCCAGTAACTGTACTCAAATTCACCTCAGAGTTTGCATACCAGGAAATTCAGTTTGTTATAGACAGTGCTAGATATGGGTCCACAAAGAAGATGGGAAGGAATTTTGAAACTATCAACAGCCAGGGTTGGCAAGGAGAATCCCTAGTGGTTGGTTTGAGTATGAATAGACAGTAACCCAAGGTAGGAATGCTATTGCTCAAACTTTTCACTGGTGGTGAGCTGAATGTTACACTAGGGAATAAATCTGGTAGTGTATCAATGTATCAATCTGTGAGACATTTAGGAGGTACAGTAATTAAAAAGAAAATGCCTGTTGATAGGAGTCATTGGTGTTCTGAAGAAATAATAAAAGATGGCAGGTACGAATCATCAATCAATAACTCCAAGTAGAAGACAGTGGATTTCTTGGGGTCATATAGGTCACAGCATTCCGGTAGCTTTTGCTGAGGAAGAGTTGAAATCAGGTCCAGAACTTAACTATAGTGTAAAAGAGCTTCAACAAACTTTACATTCTCAATCTAGACAGACCTGTAATGGTCAGCAAAGCACCCTGATTAAGGAAGAAAGGAACTCCGTGCATGAGATAAGGATATTTGGGTTTATGCACCTGAAAGTCTTTAGTATCCATATCAATGTTAGTCTCTGAGAAAGCAGAAGTGGCCTACTCCTTTTTGGTAAGGCTAGTACTCTTCCCAGCTTGAAGATGATAGAGGGATTTGTTGCAACAAGGCAGCATTAATCTTTCAAGATCTATTTCCATCTCTTCTCCTGGACAGTGGACCAATAACTTGGTATATCCTCCTTGCAGTCCTATCTCAAAAAATTAATGAGAGTACCTGGACTTTAAGATTAATCAGAATCTGGCTAGGGACCATGTCCTCAGCAAGGCAGCATTGTTATAGGTTTTATTTATCAAGCGAAGAGTAACCAGGATTGTTGTGATATAGTAGAATGGGAACTAGTCATCTTCCTGAGATATCTGAGTTGATGGCTCTTCTGAGCTGAGGTAGTCCATATTCACTTAGTGAATTTCCCATGATCACCATTTTCCTTAGTGCGAGGGGCTGGGATATCAGAAATTGTACCCATAAATCATGAGACCACTGCTATGCAGGTATCATCCATGCTATATTGACTAAATCTGATGATTCTTGAAATCTTATTATGAGTTTATTTTAAGTCTCAACACTTTAGCTGATACTTGATTGAAGTGGGCATGGTAGTGCTTCAGCCTAGAAATGATTGAGAAAATAATTTTTAAGAATTTTGTGTGATTACTTTTATAATTTGATTAAAGTTAGAAATTCTTTCCATTAAAAATTTCAGATGCACACATGCACATGAAGTATGTGCCATTTCAAGATTACAAATGAACACCAAGTAAAAATTCTTGATTTAAGGTGATTTAGCTTTTAAGATACTTAATATCTCAAATTCATATTCGAACTTTTGAAAGCTTATGTATAGAGTATCAGAGATAGAATAAACATTTTGGGGCTCAGGCTGATATTCTTTTGTTTGGAGGAAGTGCTTCAGCTGTGCATTTTGTTCCTGAGATACTAAAAGGAAGATAATGTCATTATACTACTACCAAAAAAGATGATTTATTTAATTGGACAATAATATAATATGATTAGTATAATTTTCCAGAAAACTAAGTATGTTCCATTTAAGGTTCATTTCCCACACCATACTTTTACATTTGAACGAGGGTTAATAAGAGAATAAAAATGAAATATGATGAGAATTTTTAGCAGTCTGTTAAAAAGAAAAGCATTTGTCATACTGAATTACCAGTTTTTTATTTTATTATTTTAAGGCCCCCAAAGCATTATAGTTCACTAACTTGTGCCTTGAAAATACACTCATTGTAGTAAGTTTTTCATTGTAAAGACCTTTTATAAAAGAACTTGACCTGTATCATTATATGATGTCTTTTAATAATTTAACAAACATTGACTTCCTGGTGTGAAATGAGCCAATTAAAGTCATTTTAAAAATGCATAAGTTTCTCTGGGTTGGTTTCAATTTTTAAAAATATTTTATTTATTTATTCCTGAGAGACACAGAGAGAGAAGCAGAGACATAGAGGGAGGAGCAGGCTCCTCATAGGGAGCCCAATGGGGACTTGATCCCCAGACCGAGATCACACCCTGAGCCAAATGCAGATGCTCAGCTGCTGAGCCACCCAGCCGTCCCAAGGTTGCTTTCAATTTTAAGTAAAAGTAGTGTATAATATCCTGCAGCCTAGTTTTTCTATTTAAAAATATAGCTAGTCTCACCACTATTATTTCTCTATCACATATCCCAATTGAGTTGACATTTCAGCTTTTGTATGATCTTCCTAAGTTGGTTGACTAAAGAGGTAAGTCATTCTGAAGAATTCCATTTTCCAGTCAATTTCAAAGCTCTGAATCAAATCACTCATGGCCTTTATTATTTTCTGTTACAAAAGTAGGGAAACAGAAACAGCACTAGAACAAATATTCATCTTTAGCTTCATGGGCATAATGTTAAAGAAGATTCCAGCTTCAATAGATGTCAGAGATTGACATTGAACTTGGAAATAAAAATATCTTAGAAAAACTGGAAAGAATACATTTGAAAGGAAGAGTCAGTTGATAAACTTGACCCAGTAATCAAACTGCTCCTAGAAGGGACATAAGTATTTTTACTAGGGGGTACTTTCTTTGGCAGCACATATGCAAAAATTAGAATGATACAGGAAAGGTTAGCATGTCTCCTATGCAATAATGACATAGAAATTCGTGAATTGTTCCATATTAACAAAAAAATTTCTTTTTTCACTAGTGCAATGAAAATATGAGGCCGTTTACCTTTGAGACTCTGCCTAAATCCTGGGAACCTTAATCACCAATGTTAAATCTCAAAAGCCCAGGTGTCCTATTGTATCATTCCTTCCAGTGACAATATATTAGTAGAGAGAATGATTAATATCAGACACCCCTAATTCTAGACAGGTTCTTTTCTGGTTCTGCTTACTTCCTGAAATTGAAAGGAAAAAGGGACTCAGTCACATGGTATAGCCATGGAAGTAAGGTTAACATAATTTTTGGATTTAAATATTGAAAACTTCAGAATCAAAGTAACGCCCTATTGTCATTCTTTATATAAGCTTCTACAATGCTTGAAAAAAGCAAGTACAGTATTTTCCTAAAATTGGAAGGTCCTATGTATGATTCATTTCTGAGGATGTAGCAAAGAGCAATTCAGCAGAACTACCCTGCCTAGCAAATAGTTTCTGATGAGCAGGCAGCGGAGACAAGCTTTGCCTTTTTATGCATGCTGTATGTTACTGTGTAATCTGGGTCACCTATTGATATCTCACACCCATTTACCTTTTATTTAACTTCCAATGAACCCATGTCTGTGTCTTAAGAAGCAGCTAGGATTGGAAGGATTTATTTGTAAATAAAGGAAATATAGGTTTACTATGTTGGATACGGAGATGGATATGTTACTTCTTGATAGGAATTAAAACATTGGTAGGAAAACAGTACTATTTCTCCCTCCTTACTGTAGTGCACAGCAGAGCCACAGGAGTACAAAGTTTGCAGGGAGTCTTTGGCAGAACCTAAGTGCAAGTAGTAGTGTAGCAGAAAAGATGCTTGGCAGAGGGACCTGGGTGAGACAGTATTGCTTAAGGAAGTAACATTACTGAGCATAAATTGTGAGACTTCAGGGTTGAGATGAATTGAGAAACAAGAATGATACCTTGCAGAAATATTTGTGCCTTTCAGGAACTGCAGCATCCAGTGAAAGTAACAGCAGTGTCTACCAGTAGGGATGGTGGTAACTAGGGAGTATGGTACTATGTTACAGACTGAAAAGCAAAGGTCAACTGAAGCAGAAATTAGGGTGGGGAGAATATATAGTATCCCCACCACCAACAGTGAAGATTCTATGGTATACTTCAAGAGAGTGTGATAAATTTTCTGTGGCATGGATTCCACAATATCTTACTTCTGGCTGCCTCTCCAAAATATAGTTTCCTTTCTCAGATGAATCCTTAAATAAAATGAATACAATGACCCTATTATTGTTATTCTATTAAGGAGGATTCTATTTAGACTCTACATATGCTATGGTATGAAGACTTTTTTCCCTTCCAAATTCATACGTTGAAATTTTAACCCCCAAAGATAATGTAATATATTAAGAGATGGAGCTTTTTTAAAAGGTCTTATTTATTTATTCATGAGAGACACACAGAGAGAGGCAGAGACATAGGCAGAGGGAAAAGCAGGCTCCTTGCAGGGAGCTGGATGTTGAACTTGATCCTAGGACCCCAGGATCATGTCCTGAGCCGCAGATGCCCAATCACTGAGCTACCCAGGCATCCCAAGAGATGGGGCTTTTGGGAGGTACTTAAATCATCTGGGTGGAGTCCTTATTAATAGAATTAGTGCCTTTATAAAAGAGAATCCAGTGGAACTAGCCCCTTTCCATCATGTGAGGACATAGCAAGAAGATACCATCTATGAACCAGAAAGTGGGACCTCACTGGACACTTAATCTGCTGATGCCTCTGATGCTGAACTTCCAGGAACCAGAACTATGAGAAATAATTCTCTGTTATCTGTAAGCCGCACAGTTATGATATTTTATTATAGCAGCCCAAATAGACTAAGGCAACATAAAAGAGCCCTTAGATTTTTTTTTTTAAAGAGTGAATTGGTTTGGAGATTCTTCTGAAGGATTGACAACAAATCTTCATGCATCCCACTAAAAATTACCTGTGTCCTATTTTCTAAAGTAAGTAGTTGTGCACCTGATTGACTAGGGGACATTATTAATAATTTATAAAAACATGATGGTTATGTGAGTAAAACAAGGAAACCTAAGTGTCAGCCTTTAATTTTAAACCTTTGAGAAAGCTCTACCAGATTATAATTTTTAACTTTTATTGACTATCTACATCATTAGGAAACACTGAGTTTCTGTATATTTTAAGCAAAAACTACCAATGATCATAAAATATATTAGTATCCATATTTCATATTTGAGAAAACAAATACAGACAATAGGTAACTTGAATGCAGAAAAATATATATGATAATTTGGTACTAAATGAATACGTTTTATATATATATATATATATATATATATATATATATATATATATGGATTTCTCATAGTTGTCTCAGGTTTTCACTTTGCTTTAATAGCAAAAATTTGGCTTAGCTCAGTTTGTACATGGCTCTGTCTTTTCATTAACTCATGATTCATTTGGACTTAGCTAAGCCATGTTAGCTGTCAATGATGAGAAAAGAGCTCTATGTGAATTATTCATTAGGATGAGTGGGGAAACATTATATTCCTGAAGCAGTGCTTTTGCTACCTAATGCAGGATTTATGGCAGCTGTCTACCCACACAGGTATTTGTTCAATCTGATGATAACCAGTTTTATTAAAGAGCTTTCTAAAAAAATAAAACTAGCTCACTTCTTCATATTTAATTTTTTTTCTTTATAATTACTTTATTGAGAAAATTGTCCTGCAATTGTATCAGTTTGTGGTGGCAATAGTTTGCTTTAATCTTTTAGTGTGGAGTCCCTGGGTAGCTCAGCGGTTTCGTGCCTGCATTTGGCCCAGGACGTGATCCTGGAGTCTCCAGATCAAGTCCCTCATCAGACTCCCTGTACGGAGCCTGCTTCTCCCTTTGCCTATGTCTCTGCCTCTCTCTCTCTCTTTGAGTCTCTCATGAGTAAATAAATAAAATCTTAAAAAAAATCTCTAGTGTAAGATAGATTAAGACATTTGATGGTACATGTGGACAGTGTGTCTTGTAAGAAGAGAATATGTAATATGACCACATTTACTCATTTGCTTTGTCAGGTGTTATAATTTCATAATTTTATTCATGTCTTTCCTTTTTTTCCTTTTTGAAATACATGTGTATACATTAATTTTCTCATTTATTTTAGTTTTATTTTTTATTTTTTTAAAGATTTATTTATTTATTCATGAGAGACACAGACTGAGAGAGAAGCAGAGACATAGGCAGAGGGAGAAGCAGGCTCCTTGCAGGGAGCCTGATGTGGGATTCAATTCCAGGCCCTGGGATCACGACCTGAGCTGAAGGCAGGTGCCCAACCACTGAGCCACCCAGGCATCCCTTAATTTAGTTTTAAAATTAGATATTTGAATGCCTTTTTACAAGGGTCAGTAAGCAACATACTTAATCAAATTCTTTACCCAGTTGGGAAGAAGGTCACCATTCCTCTTCTTAAAATATCTCTTTAAAAAGTATGACTTTAAAATAGACTCTGAACATTTTGAATTTTTATCCTGTCTTTCTTTAAATGTGGTCTTCTTTACTCTGAACATGGGGTTGCTCAACTTTAGTACTATTAGTATTTTGGGCCAGATGACTCTTGTTGATAGAGACTGTCCTGCACATTGTAGACTGTTGAACAGCAACCATGGCCTCTAACCTATAGATTCCAGTAGCACTTGCTTCCCCTCAAAGTTATGGCAACCAAAAATGTCTTTAAACATTAACAAGTGTCCTCTAGTTGGGCAACCTCCTCTACTTCCCAGTTGAGAACCAGGGTCTCAGTGATCTGGATTATGAAGCATTTATCTGCTTGTCCAACTCAATAGGCATGTATTCTTTGTACTTGTGATTCTTCTTAAATCTGCATTTTATTTTCAATTAACAACTAGCTTTGTAGTTTTATAATGAATATCATTTATTACATATGAATGGGATTGTAATTATATTATTTTCTAAGGAATTATATCACTAAATGATGCTCATTCTAAAACATTAAAAATGTTACTGGATTTTAATTCAAAAATGCCTTTGAAAAGAAAGCACGTATGGATGGAATAGTACATTATGTCAGTTATGCAGCAAAATAAATAAAGCAGGTACTGTGCTAGACCCTTTTATACAAAGCAAAAGCAAACATAGTTAATGATCTAAGACTATTTAATGAGTTACCTTAAATATTAACATAAGGAGCATATAGTGAGGAACGTGACTATGTATTGACTACAGCTAACCTCAGTGGGCCAAAAAAGTGTCCCCAGAGAGTGGCTACATGACCTGAGGTTTAGTAGATGATAAGAACCTGGAAATCAAAGGGCATGAGCCTTGAGTGGGGAAAGACAATGCCTGAATATGATGATGGTGATAATGATGATAATAATGTTAATGAAGCTAATATATTTGTTACTGACTTTGTGCTGGGAAGTTTGCCAAGCAACTAGGCATTAGATCTAATCTTTGTACTTCCTAGTTAATCTTTCTAGTTAGATCTAATAATCAATACCTCTTTGAAGTAACTTTTATTATTATCATTTTAGACATACAGATAGTATGATATGGGTAAGAAAATAACTTGCTGGTGGTCTTATAGATGCAATCTTTGTTTAGTTAGGTGTGAAGCCCAGATCTGATAGCCTCCTGAGTCAGGGTCCTTAAATATTACATTCTTTTATGTCTCTATGTTATATCACTTGTTAAAAGAACTAAAAGACATTTATCATATCTGGAGCAAAGAAGGGGGTTGAAAGAAGGGTCTAAGGGCCTATGGGATAAGGAGAAGATTCAGAGATTATTTGGAACCAGATCATGAAAAGCCATGTTAAAGAGATTGGGCATTATCTTAAATGCAGTGGACAACTAAAAAGTTTTAATGAAACTAATGTCATTAGATTAACATTTTTGAAAGCCCTTTTTGTCTGAAGAAAGGAGTGCTGATTGGAGGGGTGGGAAGTGAAGGCAAGACAGAGATCAAGGTGAGACACGAATGTGAA